GAGCGTAGTGCAGTATGTCCTGGCGGAGTGTCTTCGGAACTGCCAGTCGTAACACGTCCGTCTGATCGCTTGGCCTCCCCTTGACGAAGTGGTTCAAACGGAAGAACACGTCTCGACTATCGAACACGAACAGGTCAGCTTCCTTCGAGAGGCGACGTATATGCGCGCGAGAGAAACTGTCCACTTCACCTCACAAGAATTTCTTGAGGTTTAGCAGACGGTGATCCTCATCTTGGTGCACCTTGATTCGTCTCCACCTTTCAGCTTGATATTCCAAAGGCCCCATCGGATCGCTCCGATGGGAGTCCCCGCGAGCCCGACTCCGGGTCACGACCGCCATGACTCTAACTGGGGTTGGTAGAGGCGCGGACACGGGCTCTGGCTGAATCTTTACAGGTTCACCGATCGGTGTTTCTCGAGTAGGAACGTCGCCTGAGCCTGGATCTGAAACGACTACTGGATTCATCAACTTCTCCGGGATCGAAGATACACATTCCAAGTGCGTCATCTCGGTCGGGTCGGTCACGGTCCAGGACTCTCCAAGCGCCAGCGTCTTCGAGGTGAGAGAGTCTGCCGCCTGGTTATATTCTGTCTTGGTATGCCCAGCCGGACTGACTTGAACTTTTTTCGTAGGACACCATACTCTGCTAGTCTCCGCTCCAAATTGGGCTGGTTACAGTTAATCAGCCCTTGCACTTCTTGTATCACGATACGAGAGTCTCCGACAACCACACATCTGGGATGTCCCGCTCGGCTACCATGGTCAGCACCTTTGAGCGGACCATGGTACTCTGCGTCGTTGACAGTGACATCTTCAAGTACGAAACTTGAGCTGTCACTACCTTCCAACCGGGGAGTTTCCAGATGCTACATTCACAGCTGCCCTGACGCGTAGACGTCTTGGCGGTGCCATCGAAACTCAACACGTAACCATCGAAGTCTGCCTCCAGCATCTCCACGCTGATAACCGGTTGGGGTTTCACTCGCCCCTTGTGAGGTATCAGGGATTCTGCTACTTTATTCAAGTGCTCGCGTGGGGTAATGCCTGTTCCCATAATAGCGGCTAACCCGTTCTCGTCACTCTGGACCTTGTCAACTTCCAAGTCCCAATGGGACAAAACCACCCCCCCCATCTGACGCATCATCCGTCGGCGCTCTTAGACTTCACCAGCCAGGACAGGACGGAATACCGCGTGTAAACCTTGATTGGACACCGCTCTCGAATATGTCCAGTACTCGCATGATCGCGATCACTTCCTTCTCCGCCTCGTGGTACTTAATCTCAATCTCATTCGGCACCCGGCCTGTGAAACGTACGGGTAAGATCTTCCCATCATACGTTTGTCCTAGGACGACGAATGCCGCCCAGCGATTCGCGTGCGGAATGATCACGAACGGCTTGTTCCGGTCGGGGTGACGCAACCGAGGCGTAGACACGATTTTCCGCTTGAGGATCACGAACGACTCTTTGACTCTGGACAAATCCCTTCCAGCCTTGATCTGCTCATCGGTCAATTCATGAAGTGCCGCCGCTACTACCGAGAAATCCTCAATGAACTTGTGGTAGTAGTTTAGGCTCTCCCTTTGAGCGTTGTTGGGAACGGTAACTCTTGAACGGACTTCGCGATCTTGGGCATAGCCCTAATGCCCTCGGCACTAATTTCATGAGAGAGATACGAATGGTGAGCTTGCCGAATTCACTCTTGGGAAGGCTGAAGGAAATATTCCAATAGCGTAGTCGATATAGCAGAGCATTCAAATCCTCGCACAACTGGTCCCAGGTGGGCGCCCCATGGGCGATGTCGTCGATATAAGAACTCCGTCCGAGGACAGGTCCCATCTGTGATGGCGTCAGGATATTCAGCTTAAAGGCCGTCATCTTGTCCGTCAGGATAGGCACCTCTCGGGCGGACTTCTCACGCTGGCCTTCATCTTCAGCTGGGTCCAAACCTAGGAACTCCAGAACATCTGCATCCACCATCTTCTCTTCCTCTGGCAGTAGCCTGACGAATCCCCAGAGACAATTGTTGATCATCTCTTGGTATATCAACGGCGCGTTCTTGAGGCCAAATGGCATTCGAATCCATTGGAAATATCCGACGGACACACGAACGCGGATATCCGCTTGGCTCTCTCGGTCATGCGTATGGCCCAAAATCCGCTAGCCATGTCCAATGACATGAATCACATGGCATACTCGAAACCCACCAGGAGGTCATCAATCAGCGGGAGCGGATAATTCGACACCTCAATGAAACGGTTCACCAGACGATAGTCGATACACATGCGAATGTCAACTCCATTCTTCTTCAGGGCGATCACGATAGGCGAAGCCCAAGCGGAGTCAGCCATCTCGATAAGCCCCGTTTCTAGGGGTTTCTTCAGCAACTCATAGACCTTCATCGCGACCTTGGGAATTATCGATCTCGGTCGAAGTGCTACCGGTTTGGCTCCTCTGACGTCGATGTCACATACCATCCCCGTGCTGGGGCAGGAGCTGCATTTCCATCACCTAAGAAGATCTTGGAATGTCGTCTCAGAACAGCTCTTAGCTGCGGTTCCTCAGCTGGAGTGGTCCGTCCGGGGACTTCTACATCTGTCTTGGAGATATCGCAATCAGGGGTGAGGTCGCTCAAGTCGGGTAACATCATTAGGTCATCACGTAACTGAGACATCAGTCCGCATTCTTCGTGGATATAGACACCAGGTTCTAGGTCCAACACTTCTTGCGTAGCCTTCATCACCCGGATGTACTCTGCCTCCAACTTCTGAACGAGGGTCCGCTCATCGGTCCGGCTCGAGGAGTCTGACAGGGTTCCGTCGTCGGTTGCGTTGAACCGTCCGGACTCTTTCCACTGGATCCGATGACTTTTCGGGTTCTGGTTCGGCTTCGCATTCCATCCACACTCTGTCTCGACTCGCATACAGGAAGTTCTCACATTCGTTCTCCCATCCGGGGTCTGTCTGCGTCGATACGTCGCAAGTCTCGCACGTTTGGGTTCCAACATCTGAAGACATTTGACCGAGTGTTCCCCTGTCTCTAGTCGATCCGACTTGACTTGGAGACAGGTAACGCGAGCTGTGGTGGTTCCTGGTTCCGGACGCAGCAACAACTTTGAAGGCCATCGATACTCTGGGGCCTGTACACAAGGTGGTCGCAGGAACTCTTCGAGCTCAGCCAACTTCCGTTCATACCTCTGTCGTTCAATAGACTTGGTATTCTCGTAGATCAGCTGCTGCGACTCCTTGTTTCGCTGCCTTCCCGTCCAAACGAATCGTCCCACCTGGGGGAAGTAACCATACGCCGCAAGCCTTGCCACGACAGTTCCAGTACTTAACCATAGTATCGACGGCGAGATATTAATCACCTTGACAGCCACGGCGCATGGTTTTGAGGCGTAAATGACTTGGGTCATCCAACGATTTCCTCGCCCAGCCCAAACGACTATCCGGTGAGGATTCGTCTGGCCATATCTCACTCGGACAATTGCATGTTCGGCCGGTTGGAGATGCAGAGTCTCGTCTTAATAACTGGCACGTCCAGGCCCACTCACTCGCGATTTGGTCCAGTGCACATGACAACTATTTCTTCATCAGGCATCCTCACTAAACATTCCCGCATGCACAATCGTATCCCAGCGGCATACATGAAATCCATTCCCAACAGGACTTCCAACCCTTCACCTATTATTACCAAACATTCATGACATACACAACGTTCACTCTGGCCATGGCAGTAATGTACGATTGAACTCTACCTAACCCGGACACCTTGACCGGGTCCGCGAGCATCCGGACTTTCAGCTTGAGACTACGCGCAAGATCCAAGCTAATCATACTTCCAGATGCTCCTGAGTCAAGTAGAATTTTCGTTCGTTCATCGTTCGCTGCTCCATACACCAAAGCAACATCATGACTGTCATCTGTTTCATGATCCTCCCACCAACCATATCGTTGTCCAGGTCGTAGTGAAAACTCAAACGGACTTTCGCTTTCGGTCAAATCTGGTTGGACTTGAACAGGCTCAAAAGGACAATCTTGATTCATTGTCGTGCATTGTTGGTTTATGGATCTCTTCTCTCTCAATTCTCTTCCGACGTACGCTAAGACGCACAATCCTTGGGGTCGTTCAAGCCAGGCGCGTACTGGATTCCCATCCAACGGGCTAATTAGTTTAACTACTTCCCTGGATCGGCCTTCCCATCCAGCAATTTCTTGTCGATATCGGGAGGCACGCCTTTCAGTACACCGTTCCGAGCGAGATTCTTCATAGTTTCCATGGTTTCAAAATCTTTACACTTGTCTTGGTGACACCCGTCGCAGTAAGGGTACGATCGTGCCCGACAGGCGTGGCCCTGTGGCCGTTCTTGCCGCAACGTTCACACACCGTGTCGATCCAGCAGTTGTGTTTCTTGTGTCCGAACTTCATGCACTTCTCGCAGAACTCATTCCGGTCTGGATTATTCGGCCATCCGGGCTGAGGCGATTGCCATCCAGACTGGGACCCCGATTGGTGCGATCCCCATCCGGCTTTTTCCATCGCACGATATACAGCGTTGTGGATATCCTGTTCGGTAGGTGTCGGCTGAATTTTGCCTTCTGTGCTTGGTCCACTTGGGCTTCCACGTTCGACTGCCTTAACTCCACTGGGGAACCGACCTCTTCCGCTTCATCCTCGAAACGAACATGCCCTTCAGATTCCCATCCGGCTTCGTCCTCACTGAGGCTAACGAATGCACGCTCCTTAGGCCGATGCCGGCTGGATGGAAATCACGCTTCTGGGATGACGAGCTGTCATACCCGTCGACGACAGCATCTCTGTCTTGCTTCAGAACATACACCAAGGTCCTTGAAACGCTGCTTGCGCAATACTACCTTCACCTGATAGTCCTTCAGATTCTTGAGGAAACGCTTGATGTGCTCCTCTCGTTCC